ATTCTCCCAAAAGTGAAAAGGACTATGTATTTCAGGAATCATGCACTGTTACCTAAATTCTCCCATCACTGCTTTATTCACCCATTCATGAGTTCATGAACAAACATATGTTCAATACATGTACCTACTGTATGCCTGGCATTTTGCTCCATTCTAGCGATTCGGTAAATGGACAGATGTGATCCATGTCCTCATATACTTTGGGCAAGAAACAGGAATATAAACAAATAGTGACAAACATTTTGTAAAGAGCTGTGACATGGGCAATCCAGGGGTAGCCAAATTACTTACAGCAGAAAAATCAGTGAGCAGGAACAGAAATCTTGAAGCCATTTGTGGCAGTAACTCCACCATGTCACTGGCCAAACAGCTTATTGAAAATCACCTCCCCACGAATCACCTGGACTCAATTCATTCTCCAGTTTTAATAAAGAAATTAACTTCTCGATCTTTCCCCAAGCTGAAAGTCAGAATAACAAAGACTAGCAGCAGCTTAATCCCACAGTGTGTGTGATCTTGGTGGAGATCCTACATATGGCGAACTTTCTGCACCAATAAAAAATTTAGATCTCACCCAGAAGCATTGTGGGGTTGAGTGAATATCACCCTGGGCTATCTTTCTGCAAAGTCTCCATACCTCCACATACAATTTTCTGAACAGAAGCATTCAATTTATGGAAAATCACCATATTCTCTGCACATTTTACCTGATCCGCACAAAAATCCTAAACTGTGGATATTTTCATTCCTACTTTACAGATTAAGAAACTGAGGCTCACAGGAGTTAAATCACATATCCAGAGATATACAGTCTGAACAGGCTGAGGAAAAAGTATTTTCTCTTCCCTCTTCTCCTTCTTCTGTTCCTTCAGTTACCTGCAAGAGAACAGCTGTGGCCCATGGTGGGTCTGCCTGCCCATCTGTGTTGATGGAGAGGAACAAGAACAGTGAACCTGCCCTGAGAGAGGGGCTGGTACAGTGTATTCCATGAAGCATCACCATGTTCCTCAGAGCCAAGCTGCCTTTCATTCTTAGGCACCAGAAGGTTTTGCCCCAGGGGCAGAGCACACTGCCTACCCTGGCAAGGCGGGGCAATGAGCTGCCTCCATATGCTTTCAAATACTCCCAGCCTCCCCCTCCCCTCTGCCCCAATCCATCACCACCCAAAAGGAAGAGGAAAGAAAGCAGCTGATATTTCAGTGAGCCTAGAGTCACATCCCAAGTCTTCACCAGCATTGTCCCTGTGGTCCTTGAAGAGGTTAAGTGAAGGACGCTGCTCCAGGTCATCTGCCACATTCATATCTATGCCCACCCAGCAGGGCCAGGGGTCAGCTGTCAAGGTGGACTCTGGAGCTAGAGACCTGGGTTGAACTGCAGAGCTGGCACTTACCCTCACCAACCAAGACTAGGAAAGGGAGACAATAATAACTTTGCCTTCCCTGACTTGGTGAAGGTTAGGTAAGAGGGTCCTGGCAGCCAGCAGAGCAATAGCAAAGATCATCTACCAGATGGTGAATTTTGCCTGTGGTGTGTTTCATTTAAGTGGTGAGAAAAAAGGTAGTAAACAAAAAGAAGTCACAGTGAGAAAAAAAGAGGAAAGACCTAGAGGGAGAAAGGTTACAGGGAAGTTTTGTTCCTGAGTACTAATATTTTAATTTTATTACAGCATACCAGCTATCATCCCTATAACAGTACAGGAAAGTCAGTGTTTCAACAGAAAAAAATTCTATCTTGCTCTGTAAAAATGGGAATTTGACTTCCATTCTAAAAGTGTTTTCAACAAGAGCCAAATCCATTTGGGTAAAAGTATGTGGATGTTGGAACTATTATGGGGAAAAGATTATTTGAGTCCAAAGAATCTTTTATTGTTAATGTATAAAATTGAACTGGGTGTCATTTGCCTAGCCTCCTCTTGGATGTACCATAACAAAGCATGAGGAGCAGAGTGAGAATTGTTTCTCTGTCACAGATTCCCAGGACATTCCTCCATAATGTACAGGTCTGTAGGACATCAACAAGAGAGTTTAAGACAAACGTATCTCTGAATATATCACACAATGTCACTTTGCATGATCACCTCATAAGAATTTGGAAATCAAAGTCTGACAGATCTATCCTGTGCTTTTTAGAGATGCTATAACAAGCATTTGGCACAGTTAGGTGTTATTAAACATGCTATCACCTTGTCACCTGCTCAAGGATAACCAGACAGACATGGACTTAAGCCTTTTGGGTTCTCAGGAATTCACATTTAAGGTTAAACTTCAAACTTCACTGCTCATTCCTTGCAGCTATCTGGTATAGGGGGTACTTATAACTTTATGTTGCCTCAGCATCCATTTTAAAATATAAGTTTAACTTCCTTGTTCCAGAAGCAGGTCTCTCTCACCTATGACACCATTTCCAATACTAGATCCCACTGGAGTAGTCCAGCTGGTGGCAGTGTTAAAAACTTAGAGGTATCACCCTCGCCTGGCAGATGGGATCCTGGCTTTTCCCACTACTTCTATTAAAAGGACCACTCAGATGTTAGCTGCCAGCTTCATATCCATGTCCCGCAGGCCCAGGGGGCTCCAGGGGCTTGCTTCTAACTCCCAATATTGCTCACCTTGGGAAACCTGTTTGGATTAATACGCCAGATCCATGACGGCACTTGGTTTGGTCTCCAGTCTCTCTTCCTGCCAGGCTCCCTGATCTCCCAGTGGGTCCTCCAGGTTGCTGTGTGCCCCCAGGGTTCATTAGTACTAAAGAAGCTTCAAAGCCTTCACATTGCATTGTGCCACATGTCACCAAGCCTTTCCTGCAATCCCACCCCTGAGGAAGGCCTGCAGGAAGCACATACACATGGGTCCACTAAGGGTGTCCTTCTGTCTATGCCTCTGGTGGCTGCTGGGATAGCAGCTGCCAGCTAAGTTGATAATGAAACTCAAGGAGTTATAATACATGGAGATGTCACAATGAAACTCCCCATATAGCTATCTTAAACAAACAAAAATGTCTTTTTTCAAAAGCAGAGAACAAGCAGGTAAACCAAGTCCTCTTTGGGAGAAAGCTCCCCTGGGAGGGGAAGGATATAAGGAAAAGATAAAGGTGGTGGAAAAATTATGTGCTCATGTATGAAAAGGAAAAATGAGACATGTTGAAACTATTCCAGGAATGGGAGAGGGGGAATAAAGGAGAATGATGGAGGAGTGAACTCTAAATGTCACACTGTACCCCCAGTGCAACAATAATAAAAATAAATAAATATGCTGAAAACCAGTATAGCAATCTCGGTAGAATGGTATCTCCCAAAAGTATTCCTTTAGCTTTGTGAGAGCATACACCATAAAGAAAGCATATTTTCTATTCTGACTTCTCCCTGTATTAACTTCATCTCACCAACATTTCGATGTGGCCTTTTTAGCAATAAAAAGTAAAGAAGTAGAACACCTGGTTATAAGAACCCAGTTTTGATTTAGAAAGAGTAGACACCTATTTTTAAATGTTTCTATCACAGTTCTAAAGACTGTGTGGCTTTAAAATAGAAAGTGAGGTTAAAATGAACAAAACAGAGCAGGGTCAGTGTGGTCAGATAAATGGCCTTGCCCACCCTGCTTCACCTGAAGAAAGCTGCTACACTATTACTCTTGCTGTTAACCAATAATCCAATTGATACTTCACAATCCCTTCTCAAATAGCCAAGTGTTTTAAACTACAGTATGGTCCATGCTAGAAACACAAACGTATTAAGTCTGACAAGTGGTTTAAAGTACCATTTTTTTTAAGTGCTCTGTAGGGAAAACTACAGCCATTCAAATTTTTAAATTTCGTTGTTGTTGTTATTGAGCCAAGGTCTCAGTATGTAACACAGGCTGGCCTCAAAAATCACTATCCTCTTGCCTCAACCTCCTGAGTGCTAGGATTACAGGCATGCATCACCATGCCGCTACAATCCAACTATTATAAACTACTTTTAAAGAGCCCGGGGGCAGTTATATGGGGACTCACCTTAGGACACTAAAAGGAAAGAATGAAATATTTTTTCTGTACAGTGGTTCTTGCCTTGGCAACTCTGAGCAAAATACCCAGCTCTGAAGATGAAGGACCCTATAGGGAACCCTGGTGTGGTTACCTGGCTACCTGTGGAGCACAAGCCCCAAGGAGTTTCACCTCCGTGGAGGCTTCATTAAGCCGTGAGAAGTACAACCCAAAAGGGTTTTGATACAAAGAAGAGTTCATTATTCCTGGAGGAGGACTGCTCTGAAAAGGTCAACAATTTGCTAGTTAGTGAGAATGCGACAATGAATAGCAACAATAACGACCTTTCAAAAAAAAAAAAAAAGGCCTATGCCTGGGGCACACAAAGTGAAGGGGTCTAACGTGCATAAAAAATGTAGGTCAGTTTTGGTGAGATTGGATTAGAGTGTTTCGTCACGTGTTCAAAGCAATCCGGGACCCTTCCCTGGAAAAAAGTTGTAAGCATTATTTTAAAGAAATAGCACTAAATGCCACCTGATCATGAAGTCATCTTCAGGAATGCTGCGGCACAATGTCTTGGTTAATTACTAAGGCCCCCAATGTCCAACCCGAAGAGCACCAGGGATCTCTAGGAGAACAAGGCAGCCTCTTTGGCCACGTTTACAGAGTGGCGAGATGGAGCGGGACGGAGCGGGGGCACGCGGGTGATACTGTCCTTGTCCCACAGCAGAAACGAAATTGTCAGCTTTCAGGGAATGTCCCTGCACCCTGGCTGAGGACACCGCCGGGCGCGCAGAGCAGGGAGGTCTCTGTGCCCTGTCAGCCCGCATTGTGTGGCCCGCGAGACTCCGCGCTTTAGCAAAGTTAACTCGTTTGATCTAAAAATACCCGCAAAAGTTCAGACAAGGGCCCACAAATGCACGGAAACGGGGCTTCCCACCCACCCCCTCCGCGTTACGAGGCCTGCAGGCACCCGGGAAATGACAGCCCGGGCGCGCGCGTAAGGACTGAGGACGCCGAGGCGCGACGCGAGTGGTTACCGTCCAGAGGACCCGGGCCGTCCGGGGCGCTGCTCATCGCGGCTGCGGCTCCGGCTCCGGCTCCGGCTCCAGCCGCGCTTCGGGCTCGGGCTCGGGCTGTGGTTCCGGCTCGGCTTGGGCTGCCGGACGATCTGGCGGCGGACGCGGTGGCTGAGACGGCGCCTCCCCCGGGACGCACAGGTGCACAGGGCGCGCGCCAAGCCCAGGGAGGAACGAGGACACGCGCTCCTTCCCTCGCAGTCCTGACTCCGGGGTGCGCCCGCGGCTCTCTATTAATACTTGGAGCGCCTAGCTGCGTCCCCGGGCTTGACCCAGAGCCTCGGGAAGGATGGGGACACTTGCGGGGGCGGGGGCACAATGTCCGGGTAAGAGGTGAACTTTCTGGACAACCTCCTAGTGGGAAGAAGCTGGCCAGGTAAGGGAGTGGCCCTGGGGACTGTCCTGGAGCCCAGATCTTTGGAGTAACCCACCTTGCAGGGTCTGATTTGGCTGCAGGAGCTCCTGGCCAAATATGAACTAAATATGATGCCACTGGGTAAATAGGATGGCACTCGCTCCCGGCCACCAACCCCGGCAATCTATTTAGGGCTGCTGCTATGAACAGAATTCATTCAGGACTGCCCTGACATTTCAGAGTTGTACAGGGAATTTCTGCAAAACTCCGAATTTGGAGAAGGGTAAGGGGTGGGCATTTTGTTACCTCCTGGTAAAAGCTGAAGGAGGCGGCAAGTCAGAAAGGCCCAGCATTTGGTCTTTAGTACAAATTTCCTCAACACTATTTGCTCCTCTGAATACCAAAAGTTTAATTCAGTCAGGTTTCTTTTTTTTAATTTAGTCAATGAGCATGACTTTTTTGTCACACTCCCAGCCAACTTTGTGTTTAAAGATGAATTGCCTTAAGAGCTTTTAATGGGAGCTCTCGCTATGATAGGAGTGATCAGTTAATGCCTCACACACATACATGTGTTCAAAACACATTTATGACTGCTCATTGTGGAACTGCATTTGTAGTCCAGGTACTTGAACAGGGACTAGTATCATTTTTTCCTGGCGATTGTTTCTTCTAGCAAGCATAATTAAAGTTCACAGTGGTGGAGAGTACAGACCCAGGCTCCCAAACAAAAACCCTGTTTCTAATATATCTACTAGCAGAGTTAGTGTTAGAAATCTTAAATTCAAATTTTAGAAGATTCTGTAAGTTTCTGAGACCATCCCCACCCTTCTATTCTTTTATATGGTGTTTCATTAAAGGATTGAGGATTTTACATTACAATAAATGAATGCCTCCACTCCATCTTAGAATACTGACCAGTGTCATTCCCTGTTGAATTATACACCTCTCTGTCTGAGACAAACCAGCACTGTCAGAGCTACAATGGTTTCCAGATTCAAGGACCTTCCACTGCCTCAGCCTCACTCTCATCAAGCAGAGAATATGCCCTTCAAAATTTCTTTAAATGTACTCTAGGCGTTCACCTCCTTCTGGCTTATCTCAACTATCATATTTATTCCTGTAACAACACCAGTATAATATATTCTTTTTTTTCCTTTTTTTTGGTGGCATTGGAGTTTAAACTCAGAGCCTCATGTTTGCTAGTCAGGCGTTCTTACTGCAGGCCCTTTTTGTGATGGGTACCATGGACTATTTGCCCAGGGCTGCATTCGAACAGTGATCCTCCTGATCTCCACCTCCTGCATAGCTAGGATTACAGGCATGAGCCACCAGTGGCAGGCTCGTATGGTATATTCATTCTTGCCTTTATTCTTCAATTACTGTATGTTTCCCCTGTGCTGGGCACTAAGGATTTGAAGAAAAGTCCTGTGCTCAGAGGACCCTGGCATATCAGAGAGAGGTGGGCCTGAGCCCAGCCAACATTCTTAGATGTTTTATGTTCTATAAAGACATGGGGAGCGGAGGAGCCCCATGTGAGGATGGTGAAGTCCACCTGGGGAATTAAGCAGTGCTTCCACCGACAAGTAGCCATTTTGAAATACTTGGAGATTTTCACTAATGATAGTTGCTGTCACATGTTATGAACTAGGCACTTGCCTACATACATTCTGTCTTATAGTCCTTAGAAGAACAATAATCATTACTGTCCCCAGTTTACAGATGGACTAACTGAAACTTATACTAAGTAACCTGCCCATGATTGGAATGGAATTATTCCTAGTTATGCAGCCTGAGCCTAGTCTCAGGCTGCAGTGACCAGGGAGGAATTACCAAGCCTTTTAGGAAAGTGGCTCCTGAACATGTAAAGACTCACTGAGGAGTTTCTACTTGTCATAATTACATGTGACCCTTCAGAAAGAAAGAACCAGGCCAGACAGCTGTGAGAACAGTGTTCATTAATTCATAAAACCATCCAATATTGGGTGAACACCCATTACACTGCACAAACTTTTTCTGGAAACTAATTTCACTCCAACAACAGATTTCCCTAATAACATTCAGGATTTACATGTGGACAAAGAAGGAAGGGTTGCCCCAGCAGACTTGATCATTGAACCAGTTGACTTGAACTTGAGAAACAGGCCTTTCACTGGACAGGAGGTGACAGATGAGAAAGAGGACAGTGCACTTGTGTTCTCATGACAGCATCTCTACCATTCACACCTACCAGAAAGGCCCACAGATTGTATGGGGATGAAACTTTGGCATGTTCAACTCAAAGGCAGCAAAAGATAGTGTGAAGAGCCTAGCCTTTGGTGTCAGACAAACACTGTGCTCAAACGCTGGCCCAGCCAATCAATGATGACCCAATACTGGGTCAATCTAATACTACCAATGAATGAGTGGTCTGTGACTGATAACATAAGACTCCCCATCTGAACAGGCACAGGTGGCTCACACCTGTAATCCTAGCTACTTGAAAGGCTGAGATCCAGAGGATTGGGTTTCAAGGCCAACCAGGGCAAATAATTCATGAGCTCTCCATCTCCAAAATAACCAGAGCAAAATGGACTAGAGATAGAGGAAAATGGCTCAAGCAGTAGAACGCCTGCTGTGCAAGCCAAAGCCCTGAGTTCAAACTACAGTTCCACCAAAAAAAAAAAGAAAAAAAGACAAAAGACTCTCCATCTAGAAAGTGGTAATACGAATCTCATGGGTTTTTGTGTGATGTCTATGTAGTGATGAAGAAGTACTTTCTGTTGCTAGTAGCAGAGTCTAGATTTGCAGTGATTTGAATAAATTAGTGTTTTTTCTTCATTTAACATGAAATTTAGAGGTTAATCCAGGGTTAGTATTCCACAGCATGTTTCATCAGGAACCTAGAACCTTCACATTTTCTTCTCCAGCATCTTCAATACAGAATTCTAAACTCAGGACTTCTTTATGGTCACAAAATGTTTGCCAAACTCCAGACTGACTTGGGCTTATTTTCCAAACAGGAAAGAAAAGGAAGAGGTGAGAACAAAAATAGCACTGGCAGCAAGTTACCAAGTTTAAGTAACTTTCCTGGAAGCTTTGTCTAGCAACATCCACTTAAAATTCAATAACTACTCTCTGTACAAGACAGGCTAAGTAGGCAATGTATGGGTGTAAGAGCATGAAAACTTCAGGGGTTCTGCTAGGGAGAAAGGGGGAAAAGTGTAATAGCACATTCTCAGCAGTGGTTAGAAACACATTCAATACAGTGTCTGGCAAAAGTAAATAAATAAAATAAAAAATGAATAATCTATGTCAAAAAATCAAAAAGATCTCAAACAGCTGATAACAGGACTGGTCTTGATGCATATGTGTGTTGGGGCAAGGGGTGGGGAAGAGAAAGAGTTGGGGGAGGCAGGTATTTTTCATGAAGGAATTTCATTTTATAAGTTTTAAGATGAGCCCCAAAGTGCCAGGAAGCATCATTTAGATTATAGTCACTCACTTTGGGGCTGACAACCTGAGAAGAAATACAATTCGGATATTTACAGAAGAAATCCAGGCCAGGAGAAAAGAGAGTGTACAGCAATTTACAGAAACCGGAGTGGGGGTGGGGGGGAGGCACAATAAGAAGAGGATCTAACAGTTATTGTCTGCAAGCAGCTAAATCACATCTGGTACCTTAAGAAGCTTTGTAAGCAATTTCTTAGGAGCTCTCAAGGCCTTGCAGACTGGGTATGGAAGGATGGAAGATCAGACTTGGATTTGAAGCAAGGGCCAAGCCAGCTCTGAGCTAAATGTGGCACCAGAATAAGATATCCAGTCTTTTTCCTCTTAGGACCCTCGTCCTAAGAGAACATTGTCTAATAGGATAGAAGGTTGTGAGTAGTTTAATCACAGAGTATTGTGTTACATGCTGTGATAGAAGTATTGCACACTTACGAAAATTGTACTAAACCAGAAGCTATCAGTCAAAATTGCTTAAGTTATGCTTGATAACCATAAGCCCCCAAGCCAACTAAGATTTATCAGCTAAATGTCATTATCCATATCTACTGTACCCACAATGCTGGAGAAAGCTCTCTCTGGAAAGAGGAAAAGCTCATTTAAGAGATAAAGTAGGGCAGGCATGGTGGTTTATATCTGTAATCCCAGCTATTCAGGAGGCAGAGGTAGAAAGATTGAAGTCCTAGGCCAGGCTAGGCATAAAACCCTACCTGAAAAACAAACAAAGCAAAAGGACTAGGGGTGTGGCTCAAGTGGTAGCCTGCTTGCCTAGCATGTTTGAGAACCTGAGTTCAAACCCCAGTACTGCTGAGAAAGAGAAAGTGAGAAAGTTGCAGAACAAACCAGGCTCTGGTTACCATCCCATCAAGGAACACTGCAAATTATTTTACTTCTAGATCATTGGTCAAAGCAAGTCACATGGCCAAACCTACCACTAACAAGATAGGAAGATAGTCTTTTTAAAATATTATTATCATATTATTGTTGCACTGAGGGTACATTGTGACATTTACAAAAGTTCTTGCAATATATTGGAATTCACCCCCTCCATCATTCTCCTTTATCCTCCTTCCCCCATTCCTGGAATAGTTTCAACAGGTTTATTTCCATTTTCATGAGTACACAATTTTTCCACTTTATTCATCCTCCTACACCCTTTCAGTGGATATAAGGGAGGATATATATCCTCCCTTATATAAGGGAGGATATAAATCCTCCTCCCTCCCACTGTTACCAACACCGGAGCAGAAAGATAATAATCTTGACCCCAGGGAAGGTAGTGTGTGTTTGTGAACAAGAACATAGTTTATCACACTGGCTATA